ATGGATCCGATGGGCAAGTCTAAGTCTATTTACACATGTTCACCAACATTTGTGTCACGGAAGAAAGGTCTCACCACCTGCCGTTCCACCGGCGCAGGTAGCAGTTGACTACCTTCATCACGCTCCGCAGCACTGATTCCCGTCCGGCCTTCATGACACCGAAGATACAGCCCTGCACCATGAAGCCAAGGCTACCTGAGCACCGCAGGACGAGTCGACTCCCGACGAGTCGCCGCCCCCGGGTCTACTTCTTCGAATCCTGCAGTGGGTGGGTGGAATCCGACGATGGACTCGGCGGTTTGATACAAACCCCTCCATTTGGATCCCATGAACCTTAGATGAAACCGCTGATTCCGCACTTGGCAGTTCATGTAAGGGAGATGTGATCTCACATCGACTAGCAGTTTTCCGCATTGTGGCAGTTCATGTACGTGAAGCGATCTGACATCTCTATTACCCTCTAGATGCTGTGTACTACTTCTACATACATGTGCAAACTGACATGAATGAGTCCATGCAACACTTCTACGATCCCTTGTTATAATCCCCCACACGCTTATTATATAGGAAATATATTGGATGTTCTGAGATGCTCCTTTTTGGTTGGTCTGTGAACCACTGAAGTTGCAGAAACATCTGCGACTTCACGTTGTCCCCCAGCATTGTTCTCCCACGGCCCTCCGAGCGGGACGTTCCTCGTGGGTGCCACGGCCCTCCGAGCGGCTCGCGAGGATCATCCCGAAGGTGTCGGCCACCGATGCGCTCGAGAGCGCCAACTCCACGTAGGCGGAGGGCTGCTCCTCGTGAGGGCGGAGGGCGCGCGCAGTGAAGCGAATGGCGGCTGGAAAGCGAATTGTGGGGTGAGACCGTGTTTGATGCATTTGGAAGGGTGCCTAAAGTGGAGTGACTGGAGTGGTTGGCCTGGAAAAAAACCGGCAAATATCAGGGTCCCCACAGGGAAGACCAGAAAACCCAAGACCGATGCCGCACCTGCGCCAGCAGTGTGAACGCGCCGACATAGACGCCGCCACCCAAGAAGCCCACGCAGAGGGCCGGGAAGAGGAGCCACCAATGGCCGAAGGGCATTCTGAGCGCGGAAGCATAACAGGTGATGCTTGAGGAGAGAGGCTGTGTACCCGAAGCGTCCGAACAACACATAGGCTACATTTATATATATATATATAACCTCTCTTCTGCGGTCTAGTCTTGAGGGAAGTGCTTAGTGAAGGAACAAAACAAGTGGTGTGATGGATGGTATTGATCGTAGAAGGCCATTGAGGGGTCTATATTGCTGCAAAAACCATGATTGGTTGTGGAACATGCATATTTTATCAAACTTTCTAATTAGTACTGAGGTCAGGTTTGGTTTCTGATGGTTCCTGTATGTTTCTGTATTCATGCATGCCCCATCATTCCCCTACAGTATCATCAAGAACGCCTCTCCTCGAGTCAGTTGGTCGGGTCAGTCAGCGCCTTTCTCCCTGAACCTCCTCAGACACACTGAACCGATGGTCGTCCGGCTGATGTTCTGCTCCTTTGATCCCACAAAGTCTTTGGTAGCCACACGCATTTCAACGCAGCTCATTACGCAGTTCAACTCATTCCTCCCAACATGTTTGAGTGAACTTGAGTCTTGAGAGAAAAAACAACTGTACAGCGGCCCACTTTGGTCCCTGTCCCCAAACTGCCCAATGAAGTCGGTCCGTCATCCCAAATCGGCATGTCAACGACCCCATGTTCCCGACGCAGCCCACACTGCGTCCCGCCGGAGTGCAACGCAGCCGCAGCGAAGAAAACGCATAAAAGGACCTGCGTGCCGGTGAGACGATCTGTCTGAGAGTTCTCGAGCCTCGGTGCTGAACTCCATGATGAAGAAGGGAACTCCAAATCATCGATCTGTGATCTGTCTGAGTTGTGGTTCACAGAAGGATGAAAAGCACAAGGAGCCTGTCGGCGAAGTGTGGGATCTATACTCTGAAGGCACCGAGTGCCAAGCTGGCCAAGCTGATTGTTGGGCGATTCCCCGCAACAAGAACATCAAACCTTTCAGATGTCCTCTGGACCTCCAGGCCTCCCCCTCACTTGAAATTCACAACCTTCATTGGAAACTGCAGGTTCCTGAATGATTAAGGCACTTAACCCCCTTCAAAGGCCCACGAACCCCACGAACCATCCCACCCACACCCTCACCCAAACCGTCCTATCCCTCCGTACCCGCCCTCCGCGGCCTGAAGGAGTCCACCGAGCCAGAGGACTTTGCGGCTGTTGCAAAGGCACAGGAAGAAGGTCCTCCCGCCGTATCGACTCGACGGTTCCTCCCTCCTTTCCTCCCCGTTCGAACCTGCGGGGTGCGGTCAAGTCCTGTGACTCGATCCCAATAAGGAATTAGCCACCCCTCCAAAACTTGAGACTGAGCCCCTACTCAATCACTGGAATTGCCCAGTCCGCAGTGGTGCTGGGATGCGCGCAGGTGGTGCTAAAGGGATCCCTGCGGGTCGTGGTTTGGGCGACGTATTTTGGGAGGTCGGCAGAAAGGGGGAAGATTGAAAGAGAGACATTGAGCAAAACCACTGCGAGGGTGAGTCTTCACCATGGAAATACCGGCTACCAGCGGCTAACATGCTGATAGATGGATCTTCATGACTCTGCATATGATTCTGGATAAACCAGTCCTAGAAGTGCCAAAGTGCAGCTTGGGACATACTACCCGTTCACCCAAACCGCAAAAAACAAATAGCAGTATCTTCACTGCGCTTCGTCAGCTCAATCTCCTGGACACAAAGACGCCGATCTGGTAGGTGAAATTGGACCACTTGTACCTCAAATAGTGGAAGGAGCGGGAAGCAGACTGACAAACATAGAAGGATATCTGACATCACACACCTCCCATATATTGTACCACGACCGCACGACCGCCCGCCGACCGCACAGACGGCTCCACGCCACCAGTGCCGGCGGCTGATGGGGTCGGTGATGGGAAAGCCCATGGCGGCCCAGAAGCCAGACTGGATCCTCCGGACGACACGGAGGACGAACGGGTTCTGGGTTCCAGCTGCCTCCGTGGAGCATGCGGTACGTGGAGCACGTGGTATGAGTCGATCACGTCACAACGTGGGGTCGCAGGTCTTGGGGAGTCGCCAGGGTTGCAGGTCTAGCGGGTTGGAAGACGATGTGGGACCTTCACAAAGCTTCGAAAAGGAGGGGGGGAAGAGTTGGGAAGAGTAAGCATCATGTTTTTTGTGGAGCCTCCATGACTCTATGTGAGTCCTTGCGGGCTGCTTTCAATGACCAAAGTTAGTCTCAAAACCCACTTGGTGACCTGATATTTCAGGCAGGGGTTGTCATCTTGCAAATGTTTGGCAAGAAGCCTGCTAGGGAAAGCAACAGGAACGATGGTTTTTAGTGCTTATATATACACAATTTGGACCGCTGCCAAAAACGTGAAACCTGTGAAACCTTCCTGTCCCAGGCTCAAATACTCTGCAGCATAGACCCAGAACAAGGGCACAGTGTATGGCCAAAGGCGCAACGTAAAGTGAAAGCGCTCCTGAGCGGAGCGCCGGACGTGCGCCGTGCGCCTCCGTACGCTGGACGGGTGGATTAGTTCGGATCAATGGATCAATGGATCAACATCCAGGCCTCATCTTTTGGTATGTGAACAAACACCGGTTTTGGGCATATCTGCTTGATTGGAGTGTCCCATTGTTCGGGATTAAAGTTTATACAAACACCAGACTAACTCAATATATGAAAACATTTTTCTATGAGGTCCATCTGCGTGTTAAGAAGTGGAGGCATCGTAGGTGCTGTCCCTTCTGGCAGGCTCAGGTGCTGTCGGCTGGAAGATCACATTTTTTTGGACCAATTCAGTGCCAGGACTCGACTACGAGTACGAAGTGTGTGGTTTTGCCATGTTTTGCCCAAACATGCCCCAAGAATGGTCGTCACGACACTTCTTCCAGAAACCGCAGAATTGATCCCTTTTTGATTCCTTTTCGCTGTCTTTCGACCCTGTCTGACACGTCTCTTCATCCGCTCCACCGGTCAGCGAGGCGTCCGGCGTGCCGTACCCCTCGTTACATCGCCCCGCCTTCACGGACAGCGAGGCGGTGGCGACCCAACGACGGCCTGGAGGACCGTGGCAGTCCAAGTCCTGCGGTGCGGGCCGCGGCAACGGCGGGCAACCCGTTGTTCAGGTCCCGTGGTGGAAACGGGAGACGGTCCGTAAACAGATGGAGGTGGTTGGATTGGTTGGATGCAAAGGATTTCGAAGAGAGATCACACATCCAAAGTTGAAAGGAGTGTTTGGAACAAGAACCTCCATGAAAAAGAAAACAATGGTTTCTTTGATGCAAGTCAAGCAAGTCTCCCCAATCCTGTTCCCCAAACTGTTGGTCTTCCCCTCGGACCCACTTCAAAGCACCCACCTCGCGGAAGGAGAACGACCTGACCTTTTCCGTCCGCGGCTCCCGGCTCCTGAGTCTCTTCGGACTCCGCACAACGTGCCTGGAGGACTGAGAGGCTCCGCACAACGAAGCCTTGACTTCATAAGTTGACTGGTCTTCTTGTTCCCCTTCAACCAGTTCCTTAAACCAGCCAAGTTGTTCCCCTTAAACTGGTCTTCTTGGTCCCCTTCTTGTTCCCTCAAGCAATTCTTAAACCAGTTCCCCTTCAAACAGTGTGCAACTAAAAATATTCCAGCCAGCACGTATACCGTAAACCCACTAATAGTGTGATTGCATGGAAAAGACCCTGGTCAGTGTGGGATTTTTGGGGGGGGTCCATCAGCTCTATCAACCACCCGAACGTTCAGGTGGTACTAGGAGTAGATTTGCCCATATGCTCCAACAATCTTCAACATGCATAATGGACATGTCTTCATGTTCAAGTTCTTCCACCAGTGTCTCAACAAGCCATGTGGCTGCTTCCGGCCTAAAGCCTCCCTGCTTTCGCGCCACACGGCGTCACGCGGCTCACTTCGCCCGCGCCTGGTGGCGGACCTTGTCGATCCAGGGGACACCCAAAAGCACGAAGAAGGTGAAGAGCCAGGCCACCGGGATCCAAAGCGCCACCATCAGCTGCACCTACATCCGGCTCAGGCAGCCGTGGCACATGGACTGGACAAGAAAAGCTAGCTCTGTGGATGCTACTTTTTGGAAGGAACTGAAGGTGGCGTGGAAGGCTAAGACATGCGATCGATACCACCTATTTAGAGAAGGTCGCCCGTCCATTCTGTTGAAACGGCTCGTTCACAATTCCAACCCCAAACGAGCAACCAAACGGAAACAACCAAACGGAAACACCAACCGTTTGCGTTTCCAAAGACCTGAACCAGCCATCCACCCAAACCCACCCTGTGCCTGGAAACAAATGTCCAAGCCATCAAAGGTCAATGACCTCGTTCGGTCCCGTTCACGGACAGCAGAGAGAATTAGATGCCGTTTGATGCCCAGGTGGATCACATCCCAACACGATGGTAGCATATGATCATACCAACAGGATGATGAAGAATTTGCATGTCAATGATCCCAATTTGAAGGAAAATGCCTAGGGCCTTGGTTTTTCAAGTTTCTCTTGTCCCAAGTATGGGCCCGGTACCATTTCCACATCCTTCCACCAAAGCGGTTTCTGCAAGTGGTCTCGGTTTCTGCGTGCGGCTGACGTTGGATGCCGGGTGGTTTGTAGTCATTGGTCCGAGCATCCAAAAACCGGTATCCAGGCTTCACTATAATATACTGCTTCACGATGCTTCAGTTGAACAAACGAGTCATGGAACACAAGTCTTGCTGGTATGTCTCCCAATGATCATGGTCGGACTCAGAATCTGCTTGCCCATCGGATCGAGTCAAGCATCGAACAACCAAATTCCTCCCGAGAGCATCTCCAAACACGGGAGTTTGTACCTGGAGACTCCAAAAGTTTTGTCCCTGGACTCCAGACCAGGGCTTTCTCGACTGACTCTCGACCAGGTGGCCACAAATAGCCCGCGATGCCACTGAAGCCAGTGCCGGAGGACCAAGCAGACAAGCACACCTCGGCACATCCCGCTCGGTGTATGGCCAGAAGATACGCGACACATGTCCTGGTACAAAAATTGATCCATCAATCCATCAACCGAAAAGAGAATCCAAACTGCTCGTTTTGAAGGTGAAGCCACACTCGATCCCAAACAGCATGAGACCCACATGATGCCACCATGGGACCCCAAAACAGCACCAACATGATCCAAAGCTCGTGGTTAACCACATCTAGCTTTCGAGGGAAAGAACCAGCATGCCACACAAGCTCCTGACCGGTCCAAGACCATTCCAAGACAATGCTCGCTTCTTGCATCTGTCCATGCATCTTTTACATGTGAGGCGCATGTTTGAAGAAACAGGCTACTAATCCTCCACCTGACACCTACTAATCCTCCATGTAAGGCTACTCATAATAAAGTGTGTATATATATATATATATTAAGTTAGTTCACCTGACACCTTCATCCTCCAAACTCGGCAGGTTCGACTCCCGTTCCATTGAGAAGTGGACACCACCCTGAGCCTGTAGAGCCATTTCAAGGTCTTCCCGCCATGCCATCCACTTGCATGTTGATGAGTCGGAGAGTATCCGAACTGAAGCGCTCCACCGGTCCAAGACCCCGGTCGTTTGAGGAGGTGGCCTCGCCTGTGCATCGTAGAAGCTGGCCATGGCCAGGAGTGAGGCCTCACCCATGCCACAGGCCACCGAGCAGAAGGCCACCTCTCCCGCTGCGGTGCGCAGTGCCGCCGAACGGCCGGAGAGTCGGCTCCGAAAGAGTCTGTTTGAGTATCCCTGGGCCAGTTACAACGATGTTCAGTTACAGGTGCAGCCAATATATTCGAGAAGCAAAAAACTGGAGAACAATCCAATCAAAGGATATATAATATATGTCTAAAAATAGTAATATTACATAATAATGTAATGAAGGTGGGATAGATGTCATGATGGGACTAATCCTTTCACCCCGTAATTCTATCAAGAACAACTCCATTCTGGCCAAGTCTCTCCCACCAGCTTCAAATACCTGGGCAGGAGCCGCGACTTCGGCTGAAGGACAGGATCGATATGATCAAGGTGACGTGTGGCGAGCATAGATCTTACTGTACATTATCATACATGATTACATGGTCATACACTGGATCTGCGCAGTTGCTTGGTGATCCAAGGCATCCAAGTTGCGGGCTCTCGCCCCAGGCTACTGTTCCCAAGCTCAGTACCATGAGCAGGGCCATCCAAACCATCCGCACCCTGCCCACAGTTGCTGCTTGTCCATCAGCTTGGGAGAAAAGGAGAGAAGTAAGACACAGCCACATGAGGGTGTGTCAGCATTAGTTGTCCCCTCAAAGACATGTGTTTTGCGGTTGTTGAACCATGTCAGCCGCTTTGGGGGGGATGGCAAACGGAGCGACGCTTCATCATTGGCCCTATTGATGAGGAATCCCCTCAACTTCTGACAACAACCTCATGCGCGTGTAGACAAATGAGACCCCAACATGAGCAAAGACAAATCACTACAGCTTGGGTCTATCCTATTACCTGTAACAGTGGATGATGATGGTTAGGTTGCAGGCCGTCCAAAAAAAAGTGATTTGCTTGTGAAACCTGACTGTTACAGCGTTACAGTCGGACAGACCCCAACTACAGCAGGGCTGGGGTTCCCAGTCGCTGGTGCCTCGCCTACATCGCCTCCATGGATCTCCAAAGGAGTGACCACCCACTTGCTGGTGCTTTCCTCTGAAGTGTTTTGACAGGTCCAAGAAGAAGCAAAGCGTCCAGTGTCGCTATAAGGATGCAGGAAAAAAAAAAGAAGGAGCTCCCGTGTCCGGTGTCCGACCTGAAGAAATGGTTGGCCGAAGTCGGACCTCTTTGGACCTCTCTTCCACCTGGACCTGTGAGTTCAGAAAGTCCTTGGACTTGCCGTCTGGTTTTTTTGATGCCAAAAGGATTGGAAGCTTTGGCCCAAGTTTGCTGGAGCCTCAGATCGACTGTGCACACATGAGATTTTTGGACCTGTTGAGCCCTGAGCTCACAAGCTCACTTGAGCTCACCAACTCTGTAAGGGTGACTCTCTCTCCGGTCTGCTCTGTCTCGCCATCTCTCGCCTGTAGCTTACGAAATGGAACCAGTACGGCCCAGTGAGCTTCATCGTCAGTGAGGGCACCACGTTGGCCAAGTAGACCATCCCGATGCCCGCCTCGCGTCGTCGCGTCGTCAGCGCGTCGGCGCGTGTGTTGTGGGTCACGTCAGTCGAGCGTGGTGTGGACCAGAACCTGAAAGCTGTAGGGCCACTGGGGCTTGCAACTGTAGAACAGCCACTTCTGTTGCTCCCTTAGTGTTGGAAAGGCTCTCTCTAAAGTGGAACCCCAAAACACCAATACAATACCTTAATTGCAATCGTTTGCCATGATTCTGGTGGACCCTGGAGAAGCAAATCTTCTGAAAGTCGGCCTCTGGATGTCCACCGTTTTGTACAATCCGGCGAAAATCAAGAAGACCAGAGTCAGAAAAGCCCTTTGATTCCCACCCTCATGACCCTTTCGCTCTTGAATAGAAAGAACAAATAGTCAGGCCTTGTTGATGCTGTTGGCCCCAGCATTCATGGTCACCTCAGATCTGCATGGTGAACCGACGCTGCACAGCGTCGGCTCACGAGGTGAGATCCCTGGTGAAAAAAACATCGGACACCCCAACTGAATGTCCTCAACGCATCACAAGATGACCCTTTAGAAGCCATTGTCTATATTGGTGATCCGCTTCCGCTCAGCTGTCTGTCCTCACTGTAGTGACAAACACAGCAGCCAAAGCAGCAGCTTCAATCAAAACCATGATCACCAAGTGGAATAATCCTCCATCATTTTGGCTGTTTTGCTTTGCAAGACTTACCCAACTACCATCAAGTCAAACCAACTGGTGCCATTTTTCTGCTTCCAGGTTGCCCAAAGAAAATTGTTCAGCAGGCCCAGGATCCAAAAGGCCTGGGTCGCGGCAAATCGCTGGGTCGCGGGGGCCTCACTTCCCATCTTGTAGTTGATTGCAGCTAAGGAACTCATTGACGTAATGAACACCAAAAGCACACACATTAGTACAACATGCAATGTTTTGTCAACGGGGAGTTGCCCGGAAAGGCAACCTTTCCGATGACCCAACATGGTCTGGTGGGATGCAAATGACCCACTTCGCTGATGATGATGATGATGATGATGATGATGATGATGATGATGATGATGCGGATGATGAGCTGATACGCTAAGTACATTATGCGGATGATGCGCGGTTGCTTCACCATTATGCGAATGATGCGCTGACACATTACGGACATGATGCGGTATGATGTGGTGATGAGCTGATGCGTTGCGGGCGTGATGCGTAGGATGAGCTGATGATGATATCTTGAAAATCCACTCAAGTCATCGTCTTGGAGTTCATGGACTTCAAAACGATGAGTTGAGTGACCCGAAGGACAAAAACAAAGTAAACCGCATGGTTTTCTAGCCCTCCATGTTGCTTTCGGGCAAACCCCCCCCATTTACCCAACATGCAGCAGCTCCCCCCATCGTGGCCCCTTGTGCGCAATGGTGACTACAGAACAATTCAGGGAAGGGTTGTAGTCGAACGTGTTTAACACGAGAAATGAGAGACCCTGTTCAAACTTCTCAATGGAAGCAGCATTTGGAGAGGTCTGAAAACAGTGGATCAAAGCAAAAACAAACCACGCGAACCTCCAAGAAATCATGCTATGTGCGAGGCCATCCCGAACAACTCTTTCCAGATTAGGACCTGAAGCTACTCCTAAAGCTCTAAGCCTCTAAGCGGCATTCATTTGACCTTCGGTAGTCCATGTGTTTCGAAGATGTGCAACCTACCAACCTATGCCGTGGGTGCAACCCAAAGAGATCTCATCCTTTGTGGCGGATTTTAGTGGCAACACCAAAACACTGGACATTGTGTTCTGGGAAAACCTGCAGATATGGATGGCCCATTAATCCATTGGGAAATGGGCCAGGCAAACAACAAACAACACCGTACAACTCCCATTTTGTTCCAGGGTTCCACTGACAGACTAATCACCTACAGCGTCCAAAGGCACCCAGGCGCTTTCTTCTTGGTCACCGGGTGGCTATGTACATCCGGTAAGGCCGACATCGCTCGCGCATCCTTGGGCGCTGAAAGACATGTGGAGCAGGGAGCAGGAGTGCCCATTATTTTTCTGCACGACCTAGAGATCCCAAGAGATTGCGAACGTGTTGGTGTTCCTCATATCTGAGACACGCTTGGATATTATGTTTGGCACACACTTTCGGGCACCCTCTTGCATTGGAACACGAGCCCAATCTGAGCAAACGCGAACCTCTTGCTTTGTTTTGAAGCAACTTCAGAAAAAAAAGGAACAGGCATCCGCTTCTCTGTGCTCATTTGCTTCTTCCCACAAATCTCTGCCAGATCTCAAAAGGACGAAGACCAACCCCAAAGTGTTCAAAGGTCTTCTGTCAGTGCACTGCTTTTTGGCCCACAAACCCAAAGGTCGGCGACAAAAAACGAAAAAAAACAGTGATGGTGCACAAGGTCAGGTCCCAGGTGAAGTTGCTTGAGGAAACACAAACCTCCATATAGTATACCTGGGCCATCCGACCATCTGGGTGTCCAGTCTGTAGATCCCAAGCCAGGACAGCCAGATGGTTGGATGGTCCTGGTATATGCCAGAGCCCCTAGTAGTAAGGCCAGGAGCCCCTAGTAGCGTCCTTGCTCCTAGTA